ATATTACTCTGGACAATATCAACTTGGATTATGTTATCGAAATGGCTATGGAACATCGCCTAATCAGGAAAAAGCTATTGAATGGCTACAAAAGGCAAGAAATAATAAATTTAAAAAGGCAGTTGATTCTGAAGGAGGATTCCCTAAAAAAATTATTTTCTAGCAATAATTTATTAATCCCATGGATTCCATTTAATGAATTAAAATTTGGAAGAAAAATTGGAAAAGGTGGGTTCGTATATCACGCTAATTGGATAAGCATAGGAACGGATGGTACTGTTGCAAATCGAAATGTTGCACTTAAATTGATTCATGGATCAAAAAATAACTGCAAGGAACTTATAAAAGAGGTAAATATTTAATAGTTCAAGATTTTATGAATTTAATGAATTTAGTAATTACTGATCAATTATTAACGTTAACAATTATAATTTTAAAGTTAATCGCATATTCAAATATTGGATCTAAAAATCCCACATTTTTACAATGTTATGGAATATCAAAAGATGAAGTCACAGGTGAATATATTTTAGTTATGCAATATGCAGAAATGGGATCTTTACGTAATAATCTTTACAATATTGCACAAATGAAATGGGAGAAAAAATTAGAATTGTTATCTTATATTGCTTTCGATCTTCAACTAATTCATTCGAATAATATTATTCATTGTGATTTGCATAGTGGTAATATATTTCAAAATGGTTTATATAATGCTTATATCGGTAATTTAGGATTTGCAAGATCTATTAATAAAACATTAGATAAAGAGTCAGGAAGCTTTACCGTATATAGCACCAGAAATTTTGCAAGGAAAAAAATTTACCAAAGCGTCAGATATTTATTCTCTGGGAATGATTATGTGGGAGATTTCTTCAGGAAATGTTGTATTCTCAGATTATGAAGATGATAGCTCAAACTTGGCTATAGAAATTTGTTTTAAAGAATTAAGACCGAATATTCCTAAAGGTACAGCAACGTGTTTTGGAGAGCTTTTAAGGAAATGTTGGAATAAAGATCCAGAGAAACGACCATCAGCTACAAAAATTCATGAAACTATTTTAGAATGGAAAAATAGTACTGAGGCTTTGACAGAATTTTTAAAATCTGATAAAGAAATAGAGAACAAAAATAATAACTTTAATTACATTGAAGATAGCACGATTCATACTAGCAAATTTATTAGTAAGATCAAAAGTAAAAGCTTTAATAACATTGAAGATAGTACGATTCATACTAGCAAATTTGTAATAGTTATTTCCTGGGCAGTTGGGTATAAGCGGGGCTGAAAGTCCCGCTTATCACATAGTGCCCAGGACATAACTGATTTATGCCCTGCGATCTTGATATAGTGACCAGGGTATAAATTAGTAATATGAATCAACGATCACTCGAATACATAACTCCAAATGTAATTATTTCTGATATAATATTTACATTTAAAGAATTATCCGCTAGTATAGAGAGTTAGTCAATCATAGTAATGCATTTGAATGAATGGAGGTTCACTAAGAATACAACGCCTACAATTTTAATGGGCGCCCTAGGTGAATTCCAAAAATCAAATTGGCATGTCAATTGACTCAGTATATTACACTTCTTATAGCGTTGTAATTCTCGAAATTGTTTTGTTTTTTTAATATATTTCAAGTATTCTAGTAGGTCAAAGTTAGTGTTCCAAATTGAGCCAGCTGACAATTAGACTTATCCTACACCTCTATTGGCTTATTTAAGACTTATTTATGGAACTTTATTTAAATAAGTATTTAATTGGATATGTTTTTAAAATATCAATTTGTAGCTTAAAAGATGTAATAGTATGACATTAGTGATATCTTGACACAAATTTAGGGAATTTTCAAGTTTCTCCACCAAACGACTTGATTGGATAAAAAATTGATTGTTATTATTATTTATGTCGAAAAACCTACTTTTTTCAATAGAGTTGGTTTGATTGGTCAAAATTTAAAATCCATTTCGCATTATTGTTATGAATTTGCAGTGAAGTGGTATAAGGATTACTTCTCGATTACTAGCAAATTGCATTGTGAAACTGTTAGAGAATATCCATAGTATGTCACATGACGCCAAATTTTTGTGTGCCAGCTAAAACATACACTTTGAATATGCTTGTAAATACAAATTGAGATTCTTAAATTTTTGTACCGTATGTACCTACAACTTGAATATGCTTGTAAATGCAAATTTGTCGCATTAGCTGAAAAAAAAACGAAAAATTAGTTGTGGTGATCCATTCCAATTATAAATGAATTCTCATCTTCATTGTTATTGTGATAAAATGATAAAATATTACTATTTATAATTTTAAATTTGCGCAAACAATATGCCATGAGTCTGTAATTCTATGTAATAATTAAATATGTAGACTTTGCAGTAGAAAGGTGAAAATCGACGACATTATTTTCAAAAAAATCAAACATCCAAAATAATTTTTTACTGTGCAAAATCGAATTTTATACTAAAAGTTGACTGTATATTGTATCGCCGAATTGTCGGATGAATAAGGGCATTATTCTATTATCAAAATTCTGCTGATATGGAATGGTATAAATTGTCTTGGACATTATTATCTTCATGGAAAAATGATATTGAAAAAAATAGACTCGTTTATTATCAAAAAAACCTGCTGATATTTGGATGTGTTAATGGAATACTAGAATACTTAATGTTGTTCATTGTTATCAAAATGGAAATGAAGTTGAAAGGGATGTATATAAAGTATTCAATTATTATCAATAAAAATCTACAGAAATAGGAAATGATAACGGAATGTATAGCTTTGAATATTGGAATGAAAAAGGAATTGGAGTTAGATGAAAAGAATATAAGTGCATTCATCTATTATCAGATGGAAATATCGATGAGCATTTATACCTTTACATTGTCATCAAAAACAGACGCATAAATGAGATGTTTATTAAAATCTTAGGTATATATTGATATAATTTATGTATAATGTCAATACAATATTTTAAAGCACATAGTCGTGAAATAATAACGCACTGTTATTGAACCAGATATGCATAAGGTAGATATACCTAATTTGCGCAGTTCCTAATTTGACGCACAACAATATCTTGCGAACCAATGATCAGAATCATATAATTTTGGTATCATTCGATTTGTCCCATCGAGACGAATCGAATGGTACCAAAATCATTTGGTTCTGATCGATAGTTCTCGAGATACTCTATTTGACCAAAACAGTCCAAGGTAGATGTATCTAATTTGACGCAGGTAAACGTTTATGGTGGATACCATGTAATATATTGATTGGATTTACAAGATTTTGGTACTGTTCAATTTGTCTCGATGAGACAAATTGAATGGTACAAAAATCTTGTGAATCCAATCAATACATCACATGGTATCCACCGTAAACGTTTACCTGCGTCAAATTAGGCACTATATCAAATTGGCAACATTTTTTTAGCCAAACTTCAATGAATGATATCTCATGATTTGGTGATTGGAATTGGGTGATTTTGGTGCCATTCGATTCGTCTCAACGAGGCGAATCGAATGGTGCCAAAATCATCCAGTTCTGATCAGTGAGTCGCGTAATATTTATCATAAACGTTACCTGCGTCAAAATAGGGATACTTACCTTATGTCAAATAGCTGACGTATATTGTACAAAGTGCAAGTTATTTTGGATTTTGAACCAAATACAGAAATAGAATATTTTAAAAGATGTAATTTTCGAACTACAATGTCATTTCGTTCCTATACTATAGGCAAAATAAAACTACATTATATTGGCAATAAATTAATATTATCTTTTAGAAATGCTGAATTATTAAGTTTTTAAATGAACAAGCTCGAAACATTTTTGTAAAGATAATCACACGAACGATAAATAAATTAATATAACATTCCGTTGGTTATAAGAATCCTCTTGAGGAACTCTACTCGATGTGAAAACAGATCCGTTTTTTTTCGTATAATTAGAAATATGAACCCAAAAATTATGTCATCATTGTCATATGATGTCAAAATTATATGAATCTGAGCTTAATTTAAAGCTGTTTACAGTTTGTGCTATTTGGACCCTCGTACGTACGTACGTACCTATGTGGTTATGGATCTATCCAATTAAATATGGGTTTCGAAACATCCAGTCTAGTGGAACCCTAATTAGAAATAATCGATAGCTTTATTATCGTTATGATGAAATAATATAAAACGTAAACAGTTTGGGATCATCTAATTTGTGGAATGTTGGCGTTGACTAACCATCCTTTATATATTAATTAACGTTATACTGTGTACGTGATATTTATTAATAAAATAAAGTATCTAGTAATGACGTAAAAATTAGGTCCCGTGGCTAATCAACAACGATGCTATCTTTATTTTTGTCTAAACATTGGTATTAATGCAAAATAGAATCGATATCTAAAATTTTTGTGCGAAACCAAAATATCTTAAAATTCATAAAAGGAATCTAAAAGTTAAGAATTTATTATTACATTGAAACGTTGCTAAAGAATACGTTATATTGTAGTATTATTATTATTCATATTGAAAGGTTAAATAAATACAGAAACTTTTTAATTCGATATATTAGTACTTATGACATAATTCCACTCATAAGTGGATGACAATGAATGGGATAAAGATTAATGAGATAAGGATTTTGATAGTTTCGTTATCTAAAAGAAATTTCTTCAGTGTGAAAATAGATGAACATGTATTTAAAAAAAATACCATATAAGGTGGGCAATGATAAAAATTAAACTGTTTCTGTTTATACCTTATCTAATTTTAGTAGGTAAACTAAATGTAATGTCCTTCTCGTTGTCAGCACACGTGATATCGATACTCTAGAACTTTTTTTAACTTGGACATTTCGCACTGTATGCGTACGCGACCTTTTTCATTATTTTGATTCATTTTGTACTAGAAATATGTATCCATAGCCTAAATGTGTACGTACGTACGTACTATTCCTTAATAAAATTGAATTGGTAATCAAAATGCAACGCAGAGACGTAATAATGATATAATAATTTGGTATTTAACTAAGTTAAGAAATTGGTATTTAACTAAGTTAAGAAATTGGTATTTAACTAAATTAAGAAATTTGATGATCACTTACGTACTGTACTGTACGTACGTACGTACGTAGAGTTAGTTTTTTGTCCGATAAAGAAAAATATATCGATATATTATTTACTTTGTGATGAACAAATAATAATGATGTAATCACATTAGCCAACAAAATACTTCATACTATAATTACAACAATCTTACGCAATTATATTTAAATTTTTTTATATAAAATAGACAAAAAACCCCGATTCTTTCACTCTTAAAAGAACTTCTGATATAGGTAAAATATTACTTGATTAAAAAAAAAATTTTTCTGTAGTTTATTTTTATTTAAATTTTACAAGTTGGCTACCCTTTGGACTCAAATAAAACGTGCCCTTAGAAGGACATTTGGAGGGCGACGATATCATCATCATAGAAGAAGGAATAATTATCCAGAATCAAGAACATATCCTGAAAGACGACGACGCAGATGGCGCTCACGTTTTCCGACATTTTTAAAATAATCTTTGCTATCATCCTTCCACCACTTGGTGTTTTACTTGAACGTGGGTGCGGCGAAGATTTACTGATTAATGTGCTGTTGACATTACTTGGATACATTCCTGGTAATAAAATTTTTCTATTTTTATCATTATTATAAAATATATCAAAAAATTTCGATATTGAAATTAATCCATAATTTATTTCATTTATTTAAGGAATTATCCATGCCTTATACATAATTGTCAAATATTAAAAATGCTGGCTCATTTTATTAAGAAATATATATATAAATGATATTATGAATAATGACTTGATTATACCATACGCATAATTTGATATATAATATATGATATATACTTGATCATTTGTCTTTAGTAAACATTCATAATTCTACTCTGAAATTTTATAATGAAATTAAGTAGTTAAAAACTTAATTTTTATTTACATGCTCTAATAAACGAATGTTTTAATTCGCATATTTATATTGATATTACAGTAGTACTGCTGGCTTGTATGCATTCTAATTCTGCAAGGTAGAACCCGATTAGTTAAAACTCTTAAATTCTCCGTTTTTTTTATAAAAATTCTTTTTAATTACTTCTAAACGTAAGGGTTGGAACCGCCTGAAATTTTCTTAACCTTCACCATTTAATTGAGCCGACATTAAAATTGTCTTAACATAATTTGGCCCGGCATATAAAAAAAATTTTTTATGGGTTAAACGGTTCCAATCCCTATCTAAACAATTACATGGCCTTGAAGGACCGGAAGGGTTTTTATATATCTTCTAATAATAATTAATTAAAAGATGATGTCTCTACGTACAGTACATCCTTATCTATCTCATAACTGGCTACTACCTATAGGTGATAAATACTATGATAAAAATCATAACTAAACCAGAACACAAATCCTATTGTAAAATATTGGTTATTTCCGTTCAATGATGTCAATTTCCAGCCCTGATTTTTCAACATTCGGAAATCTTCGTTTTTTATAAACATATCCATATAAAATAATAAAGCTAGGCATTTGATTCGTGATTACTAAATTGGAAATCACGTGACAACTGTCAAAGGCTTTTAGACGACCTCTAAAATAAAAAATAAACCTTTTTTTTTTTTTTTTTTTTTACATAAATGACTATTATCTCTCTTTACATAAGAATTTTTTATGCATTTATTTGAGTTTAAATGTTTATTTTAGGTTAAGGTACGTATCAAGTGTCCGAAATAAAATTTCCCAATTTAGAAGTGTTATATAAATTCTGATATTTGAAAAATTAATGTTCAACCACAAGAGCGAGAATCCAATTCTAAATCACAGAAATAACATTCGCTTATTTCATATATATTATTTAGAAAGATGGTATATCAAAAGTTTATACTTGTTGTAGGTTTATACGGTATTAAGAATGATCCAAGTAAAAAAAAAAAAATCCAATTAATACGACACTATATGGTATAGTAAAAATTGAATGTTAGCTTTAAGGCTAAAGACGAGTAACCTTTAACCACTAAAAATAATTCAAATAGTAATTACTGTTATAGAAGGAATTCGGACTCTCATATCGCAAATTAAAAATGTAAATGCAAGCCCCTCTATTATTCCCAGCAAAGTTTGTCATCCACTAAATAATACGTGAACAGAAGCCAGCCTATATAAATCAACATTATGACTAGATACAAGTATACCATAATTAGATTATTTAATTAGAATCTGTATTCCTTTTTTTGTCGATGATGGTTTAAAGCATCTAATTCATAGTACTTATATCAATTATACCAATGTCGTAATTGCTTTAAAATTAAAAATAATACCTCATTCCTAACAAAACTTTTTTATTACCCCACACAGTTTATACGTAATATCCTTTTTCGCTTGCCACTCTTGCATTAATTCATTTTGTGTTGTTAAATTTGGCGTTGACTTGGAGTTGGCGTTAAGGGGGAATCCATAATTTACGTTAAATTAATATTGTCATAGAAAAATTAATATCATAGAGTATTATCTACAAAGTCCCATTTCTATATAATACAGTACTGGTTTAACGAAAATTATGGATGTCCCTAATTTAATTTACAGTACATACGTTAAAGGTGGATCCGTAAACTACTTTCGGTAAATATTGTGCAACAGCATTTGTACATAACGACATCATTATCTGCCTTAGTAGTTTTTTAACGGGCGTAATGTAGTAACTCTGAACGATATGGAGTAATATAATGGATTTAAGATTTTCTGTCGACTTGCTCTACTATAGCTTTATTCAGGGGCTTGAAAGAAATGCTAACTCTTTAAATGGTAGTGACTTGTCTTGACGATAAAGGATAAATGTTTAGTATTATTCGGTTGAGTATTCTTTCTGGATCTGCTCCATGATAAGCCATCTATTAACGTACGTACGTAGCTAACCTTAAATGTAGGTCAGTGGATGTGGACTGAAATTCATGAATCCAACTTGTGTACAAATAGAAGGTCGATAATGAATTCAGATGGAAGTTATAGCACAGGACTTTAAATTGTAGGATCCTAGATTTAATACAGGAAATATGAAATATGTGTATTTATTCATTCAACCCATTTTTTATATACAAAAAAATGTGAATTTTTTTTTTGCTATTCTCTTGACTATATCCTCATCATAATAAAGTTTATCAATAATTTCTTCAAGTTTTTCGCGATAATTTAGTAAATAATCTAAGGTGAAAACCTACATTATCAAAATTAATTCAAAGGTTTAAAAAAAAATTATATTATAGAGTCTATAAAATAAGAAAGTTACTTTTTTAGAGATCAACGTATCTATCATTCCACATTGCATATCTTTTATCTCCATTGCCTTGCAGATCACGAAAGACCAACGCTACATTCGATTCATACATAATTCTCCAGCGATTGACACGAATTTCATTGACAGTGAGTAAGTTGGTAGTAAAACTACATTATTTAAAATAGATTAAAAATAAGGATAATAATGATCAAATAACACAAATATTAAATAATATATAACCTGTTTCGTGCATCATTTAACTTTTGTTCGAGTACACGAATCCTGGTATCAAATTGAGTATGAACGTCAGGATCATCTGCTTTGAACCTTTGTTCGAGTGCACTAATCCTGGCTTCAAATTGGTTATACATATCTGGTAATTTGATAAATTAATAGTGAATATTAATTAGAAAAAATGATAAATTACTGTATTAAACATCTCAATACAGTATTGGAAAATAAATACTATAAATGGCTCTCGATATGTTTGAATTCATATACAGTAATTGGAGAACGTTTACTATATTAAGAGTATATTCTATTATCGATTATGACCTGGTTTTGATTTCAATAAGTTATATCAAGATTTCCTTAATCCGAGTGTCCGTTATATCAAGAGCAATATATAAAACCCATAACTTTTGTAAATTTAACAAAAAAAAAATACACACCATCTTCAATTTTTGCTTCGTGTTCTTCATTGATAACTATTGAAAATGGCTCCGTTGAACTGACTGGCAATACCGGTTGTGAAATAAAACGAAGTGGTAGAATAGTTGATGGTTAAGTGTCATAGGTTTTTTAATCAAATCCTCTCAAAATATTTTTTATCAATAATTAACAAAAAAAAAAAAAAATACACACTATCATCAATTTTTGCTTCATGTTCTTCATTTAAAACTATTGACCCCGTTGATCTGTCTGTCAATACCGGTTGTAAAATAAGACGAGGTGGTAGAATAGTTGATGAAATTTGATGATTAGATGTCATGGATTTTTTAATCAAATCTTCCCAAATATTTTTATCAATAATTTGTGAATATGGTAATAAATGATTAGCAACATCATCACTAGAAATTTGAAAATATCGAATAAAAGGTAAACAATTTTGCAAAGTAGTCTTCAAGGTCATAAAATTTTCATATGTCCATTTTTTAAGGTCTGAAGGTAAAGTTGGATTTTGTGCAATTCCCCATTCAATCATATAATTCCAAATTTTTATCTCTTCCATTTGTAAATCATCACGTTTAATGAGCGAAATTAATCCATTCTCTTTAAATGAGATAAAATCTTCTGAATCGAAGATGATATTTGGATATTTTGTTATAATGTCATCACACCATCTTTGAAGCACTTTAAGTTTATCAAATTGAATACATGTTTTGTAAACATGTGAAAATCGAGAACGTAACCAGTGAGCGTTTAATTCGATTAAATGTGCTTGAAGGCATTCTAATAATTCTTCTAAAAGAAATTCTTCAACTACTTGAATAAGTTCAAAGATAAATTGGGCATCAAGGTTCTCTAAAGAAATAAATCCACCGTATATATACCTTGTATTTTAAATTATAAAGTTAAAAAAACGTAAAATAAGTTACTTAAGTCATAAAATATTTATATAATCATTTAAATCATCATTTACTTGATAATAATTTCAAATTGTTGAATAGAAATATTAGGCTTTAAATCAATCCTTGTAATGTTAACTGTATCCTTAGCAGCTTTTAATATTTCGTTACGAAAATACAAGGATCTATATTTTAAAATTGCTGAATGAAGTTTAAATTCTTTTGTATTTGGAAATTTTCCCAATGTGATAATTACATTAAAATCTTCTTCGCTTTCAAGAAGTTCTAAGTAATTATATGAAAGTGTTTCAAAGTATTTAATTGACGACATTTTTTAGTACACCAGAGAATAATATTTAAATGGAATGAAATGTACGTATCCGAAGCTGTTCATCAGATTGAGTATATTTGTATATCTCATGCAATACCCACATCATGAGGATTATAGTCCATGCATCTGATTGGATGTCATAACTGTATTTGTATTATTATTATTATAAGATAGCTGTGCTAGAAATCAGCATATATGGGGTGTTATCTATTAAAACAGCCCTTTTTTGCAATTTTTCGAAAAATGAGTTTTTATTGGATTCTTATAAATTTTGACATGCTTGACATTTTTCAATTATAAATGAAAGTCGATTTGCATAATAAAAAATCAAGATAATGTAAAAGAAAAATTACATGAAGCTGCCCAAGGCCAACACATCACGAGATTACCCGATAGTCACCTGTTACCTTTAACCAATCAAAATCGTGAAATTTGATTAATCCCGGATCAGTCCGAAAATCAAAACAAGTGATTAAACTCAATTATCTCAAAATGAAATATATGTAAAAAAGGGCTGTTTTAATAGATAATACCCCATATAAGGTGAGGTAGGGTATTATGACGCACTTAAGAGTTGCTCATATAAAAATTTTTATGAAAAATAGATTTATCCGTGAAATTTATTGAAATAGATTATTCATCAAATTACCCATCTTCTAATAAAAAAAAAATTCGTACTTAAAAAAAAAAATTTCGAAATATAACCATTCAAAGGCTATTAATAAAATGCTATGTTTTTTAACATTTGGGGGGTATTATGACGCACATCGGAAAGGTCGAATTAATATCGTAACAAATATTACATATACAAATAAGTATGCATGCATAACATGACTACACATGATTAATTTTTTTTTTTTTTATGTAACCGTTCTTCTTTTTTTCGCTCATTTTTCGCCTTTTTTCTTTCTTTTTCAGCTTCTCGGTCAGCTCGTTTTTGGGCTGCTTCCTCTTTTCTCTTTTTTGCATTTTCTGCCTTACTCTTTGCTAACTCATTTACTTCTTTTAGAGCATTTAGAGATTCCTCGTTGGTAAGAAGTCGGGCAAATGGCAAAGTTTTTCGTTTTTTTGGCTGATTGGACTCCTCATTGCCTTGTATTGCAGCTCGGGAAGTGGGATACTTAAGGGCTAGTTTTAATGAGCAGGTACCAGGATTTTTAAATATTTCAAGTTTCTCTTTTAGTAGCATATTTTCTCCCTTTAAAGCATGGATTTCCACTTCTAATAATTCATTATTCCCAATAATGTTAGCTTGTATAAAATAACTTGAGGATATTGTAGAAGGTGATATAGAAGAAGATGATGAAGATGATATTTGTGTAGAAGACAATATAGAAGAAGACTGTGTAGAAAAAGATGGGGTATAAGAAGACGGTATAGAACAAGATGGTGTAGAACAAGATGGTGTAGAAGAAGAAGACAGTGTAGAAGAAGAGGATGAAGGTAAAATATTAATTCGTTCAGTAGATAAAGAGGGATCGAGATGACGAGGGTTAATGGCATTAGGGTTAAAAGGCCAAATTCCTGTAGCTCTGAAAGTGTTAGTTATTGTTGCAGGTGTGTAAATTTTAATAAATGTGGGTCCAAGCATTTTAGCAAATGTATGCTTAGTTACTAATTCACTGGTTACATGGTGAAGTTGGTCGCAATTTTTACTATATTCAGCTTTAAGTTTACCAAAAGGAAGTTCAGATGGCTGGAGTATATGTGTTGTATGAGATGGGAGCACATATAGTAAAATTCCATTTTCATGGCAAGAATTAACACTCATATAATTTATATGGCTGCTGTAACCATCGAGCATTAAAAGTACAGGATGACAAGGAGGAATAGAACTTATAAAATGTTCTATATACATTTGGAAGAGATCTTCACACATATATCCTGAGTCAGTAAAACCCATAACCGTACCAGATGATGCTCCATTTAATAAACCGGGAATCGCACGAACACCTTCGAATAGGGATAGATTAAAAAATAAGTAAGCATTATTTAAATCAACAGTTAGACTTTAATTTTTAAAAAATGAATTAAACTATTTTTTTACTATCTTTACCTTTGTATATAATTAATGGAGAGATATAATCACCAGCAGCCGAAATCGTTGGCACGACAGAAATATGATCATGCGAGTTCCCATGTGCACCTTATGAACTTGGCGGGTGCTTTTTTCTGCAAGAACTTTTTGAACCTGGGGAGCTATAACAAAGCCAGTCTCGTCCATGTTCCAAATACGGTCCAGGGTAAGTGAATTATCTTGGATTATTTTATATAGTTTGTCAAAGTGATCTTTAACAATAGTTGGATTGGCTCTTTAAGCATGCGTCTCTGACAAGGCCTGAGGCACTCGAAAGGAGAGATCAGGATGGTCTTTCATAAAACATGTTCACCAGGCTTTACCAGGACCATTGTCATTAAAAGAATGATTACGACTATCGCTCTTTACAATGCTCATTACACAGGAGTTTACTTCTGATCTTGTAAGACCAAATCCTAGTCTTTGCATATTTTTACAGTAGCCTACTAATTGTTTTTCTTCATAGCTACTCAAGACTGTTGAGGGACCAAAGCGGTTAGGCAAACTATCTTTTTTCATTGTGCATCTTAAAGTTGCTTCTGAAATACCAAAATTTGTTGCAGCTGCTCATATACTAGGTGGATTGGGACTAGCAAGTGCTTTAAGAGCTAACTCAATAGCTTTTATACGCATATTTTGAGTATCTTTTTTAGTTTTTAGGAAATTGGAGTTTATGTTGTGTTTTGGCATTTTTTTTTTTTACTTATTTTTATTTTTATTTTTTCATAGCGACTTTTATACTTTTGAGTAGCAACTTTTGTATACAATCACGATCATAAGCGTGATCATCTGCAATCACGACCATGATCGTAATTGTCTTATATGCAATCATAATTTTTGCTTTAATTGCAATTGCGATCACAGTTGTCTCCTAATATATAGTTGTAATTTCGTTTGTAATTGTGATCATAATTGCAAACAAAAAATATTACGCATATATAAAAACAATCACCGTGATTGCGATTGTTTTCTTATATGCAATCACGATCATAATTGTTCTTTTCATATATTTGTAAAACATGATCACAATTGTATATTAAACAAATAAAGTTTTACAAACGAAACTTGTAAAGTAGCAAATTGTCTTAATTGTTAACCAAATATACAAACAAATAATAAAATGTTTCTTTATATAAGTCGAATAAATTTTATCCAACACTTAAAAATTCTTTAACCAACATTAAAAAATCTACAACATGGCCATAGAAATGGCATATCGTTTCGATTTAGAAGAAACTAAAACGATCCGATTTTTATTCTTTGTGATAATTTAATGCAAAACAAAGACACTTATAACATGGCTGAATTTAAAGAGCGAATGAATTATGTTCTCCTATTTCTTTATGAACGGCTAAAGAACACTATACAATATTTTGTAAAACTCTCTGTTACAAA